GATATACCCTTTTCACCAACTGCAGTCGCATCTCCATCTGGCAATACTTGCAAATCAGGCAAAAGTTGACACGATTCCAAAGTTTTCTGGTAAAACTCTTCATCATATCTATGACCAAAGAGGATGTTCTCCCTGACAGTTGTGTTCATAATCCATGGTATTTGAGAACTGTATGCCACAGTTCCATGTATGTTCAAAGTCGGATCTGTCCCATCTGTACCCATACAAGGCAAGTATCCCAGGATTGAATTCAATAAAGTGGATTTTCCTGCACCGACTTTACCAACTATACACGTTAGTTGGCCCTTTTTTGCTTCAAAGTTGTCCAAAACCAATGCAACTTTTGAATTTCCAACTGTTGTTTCCTCATCATAATTCTCCTCTTTCTTCTCTTTGACTGACTCCCAAAGGAACGTGCAATTCTTTGCCTTTACTGCAACTCCTGACTCTTCATCAACCCTATCAAAATGCTTTAACAGATCCGAATCGATTTCCTCGCATAGCAAGAACGTTGTGATTCTCTTGAACGATACAGCAGTTTCCACCAGTGCCGTGATAATCATTGGAATGATTCCAATTGGTTCAGCTAATAAGTCAAACAACGCCAATGCAGGAAACACAATATCAGGTGTTAAAGGCTGCTCATACCACAACGCAAAGGCTGCAAAGGTTGAGCAACTAACCATGAAAGGAACACAGTTCCAACAGAAGGTGACAGCACCCATATAGACACTGATTTTCTTCAAGTTTGCCAATTCAAGGTCATTTCTCACATGTGCCAGTCTTTGAAGCATAGTTTTTTCAATTGCATACAATTTGATGCTCTTGATTGACGTGAGCAGTTCGGATGTTGTTCTTGTTCTCTTGTCCTTGTATTTCATCTGTGTCATAAAGAGTGATCTAACAGAAGCTGATAGCAAACCATTTACAGGGATAAGGATGGCCATTGTGCACATCCCGGTGAATGTAGCCTTTCCCAAGAGGTTGTACAAGGAGAGCAGGCAAAGAACAATCTTGATAGGTGCCGAAACGAGCATATTGAACTGGTTTCCCAAATCCTGGATTCTTTGAACATCAACAGCAAGGATATTAACAATATCACCAGTTGAGCGCTCCTTCTTCGACTCTGGAGACAATGTAAGTGCCTTATGGTAAACCATGGACATCAAAGCCGATCTTACACCGAGTCCGACCTTGTAAAGGATGATAAAGAACTGATTGTGTAAGGAGATCTCTGCCACTGAAACGACAAAGAGTCCCAATGCGATGAGGAACCCCACAATGAGCTGTTGTTCCCCTTTGCTGTCGAAGAACTTGATGAGCAGACGAAGCAATTGTGGGGACACGAAGGACAAGATGTCATTACACAGTTGAATAAAGATAGCAGACACGAGTGTCAAGCCAAAAACCTTGATAAGAGCGTTCAACAGCGACTTTTTCCCTTGAGAATCCCAAACATCTTGGAATTGTTTATAACCAGTTCTTGGTTCAAGAGCAGCTGGGGGGTCTGGGATGTCCTCATCTCTCAGCTTATGGTTCTTGTAGCCCTTGGAGATGACCTCGTTCATCCAAACAAATGTCAGTCTAGAAAGGGCGTTTGCGTGTATAGAGCCAGGTTTCATGTAATGCTTGACAACTTCATGAACCGGCTTATAGAAGGCAGTCGCGCACACGAGTATGTTCAGTGTATTCAGTGCAACGATATAGATCCTGATATCGTTATCTAGTACTGGATAATCTCCAGACACCAGCGACTGCAGGATGGACAAGGACAGGATGATGAGCTGGAACAGGAAGTAGAACAATGGCGCACCGCATGTCACTGGCGACTTGAAGTACTCCAGGAAGCCCAGCGGCAGGGCAACCAGCATCACAGCAACACCGTTAACAAACAGACATCTGGCCCGAGCAGTGAGCAACAGTACGCCTTGTACCGCTATAGAGCCCAGTCTCCATACTCCCCATTTTTCCAACTTCTTCAACGAGCATTTTGTCAGCACAGGAGATGTCCATAGCCCAATCAACTGCACTGAGCCAAAGACAAAGAGGATCAACGACAGCCACAGTATGATCGACTCGAACACACACGGGTTGACGGCATTGTGACCTGGTATCAGCAAGGAATCGCCGTAGGGACATCGATCAAAGATGTTCAGAGGAGTCATAAATATACCCATTTTAACATACACACACACACGGGCTTTGTTTCCACGGAAGGGAAGAGAGGTCAGTGACGTTGTGGTACAAAGAAGTGTGATAGTCTCGCTCGATGGACAACGGCAGACAGGCTTCAAGTGAAGAGACAACAAGTGAAGAGAGAACAAGTGAAGAGAGAACAAGTGAGGGAACCGCTTGCTATTATTGTTTCCAGGCTTAGTATCAAAAGGCAATGTAGTGAAAAACGAGGCGTATGCTGTCGCTACCAGCAAGTGTACGGAGCACAAAGTTCCAATAACAACAGCTCAAAGAGGTAGGTTGTATAGTGTAGTGGTTATCACTTTCGGTTTTGATCCGAACAACCCCGGTTCGAATCCGGGTACGACCTCTTTTTGGAATCGGGAATCGCTGAATTGGTATGGACACTCTGGGACGTGTCCTTACCGATGATGGAGCTATGTGTCAAATAGTGCGATGGGATGCACTGGTTGCTCACTTGTTAGTGGGCTGAGGACGTCGAGCTTTGCCCTATAGTGGTTGTTTCGGTTACGTTATTGCCCAGTTGGTGCCGGAGTATGGAGTTGTGTGAATAGTAGCGGTGTGGTGCCGGTGGTGCCGGTGGTGCTGGTGGTGCTGGTGGTGCTGGTGGTGTGGCACCAGTAGAGTAGGTGGACTGGCAGTGTACAGCAGAGCATGAGTGTAACTTCCACATTAAAGTCCGTAGTAGACATGTCTTAAGGGGAAACAAGGGAGCACAGTCACACACACAGACTTAGATACCGGTACGTTACTCACCACCATCGAGGCACTAACACAACTGCCCATTTCAAGCCATCAGCACCCTCCTGCCATCATATGATGGAGAAGCACTTATCAGGCAGTTCGGGTCCATTACAGCCAAAAATATGGACGAGGATGGGGAAGAAGCAGACAAACATGGGAAAGCAGCTCTCAGAGCCTATTGTTAACACGCTATCTACCCACTAGAGAGCATTGATAAGCAAATGAACGTTCATAAGATGTGTTACAGCGTGTGTAACGATTGTGCGATTATAAACTCAGATATATTCAAAAAGGAAACAGCAACAGTGGAAATTATCCAGTGACAGGTCGTATAAGAAGGTCAAAAAGGGGTTGAGTCCACGCCACTTTAGCAAGTGGACAGTCGAAGCAAACAAAAAGAAGAAACGTTGGGAAAGTAAATCATAGCACAGTTCTGGAGGTCTCTTGGAATGGGTTTGCACCGGTCTCAGCAGTGATGACCGAGTTGTTAGTGGTGGTCTTGGACAAGTGGATATCACCTTGGCCAGAACTTGAGATCTCACCAGGTCCACTGCCCTCAGTGACGACAGATGCGTTCTTCTTCTGCTTGTTCAGGTACCAGTAGACGAATCCTGCAATGGCAATGACTGCAATGACTGGCACAATGACAGCTGGGGCAACGACACCAGCCTTGGAAGAAGAAGACGAGGAAGACGAGGAGGAGGAGGAGGAGGAAGAAGATCCAGAGCCGTTATCTGAAGGGAGTCTTGTGATTTTGGTAGTGGCATCATCGACTGATGAGATTGCTCTGATCAGAGGACCAGTAACGGTACCGACATTTGTAGCATCGGTACCAGCAACGACCAATGGAGTAATGATAACCCACATGTAACCGTTTCCATCAGATCTGACAAAGTCACTTTGGATCTCCAACGGATAGTAGCCATCAGCGTTGCTGATATAAGACGTTGTAAGCAACACGTTATCGCTCTCGGAGGCACCTTGAGGGTATTGTTGCAATTCGATGGTGACTTTCGTAACGTCGTCACCTCCCCAGTAGCTTGGGTCCCATGTCAACCAGTACGTCTCACCGACAACCATCTCGGTACCGTTCAAAGCACTGCAGAATGGATGGCCCTGGACGCTGCTTGCAGGCACTCTATCACCAAAGCATCTGAGCACAGGTGGTTCATAAGATGGTGTTGGATAGTTGGATGCTGTTGGTGTTGGAGAGGTCGAGATCCAGCTGCCGTCCGTGGACGTTGGCTTGATGTTGTACGGGATACCTGAGCCGTCAAGAGAGGCCCAGACCGTAGGGGTGTCAACTGGAGATGCAGAGATGGTCACACCGTCAATCACAGTAGGTGTCACCCTCATCAAGATTCTCTCAGAGGTGGACGTCCAGACGGACTCGTACAGGATCTGTTGGCCACGTTTGACCAGAGGAGCAGCGGTAATCTGCGCTTCTGGTGCTGGCAAGGCAGCACCAGAGACAAGGGCTGGCAGAGCAGCGGACAAAAGCATCATATATGTCTTCATCATCGTGGTGGTATCTGTGCAAATTACGTTGTTTGGTAACGAAGATGGGGATGGAAAGAAACACACGCAGCACGAAATGGATTAGTTCAAAGGTCAGAACAATCGGAATATCAAAGAGTCTCTGTGCGACGAGCTGTGTGTTTTGAGCAAATAAATTAATAAGCCTGTCGATACTCGAAACAAGTAATAAAATGACTCGTTCTTGGTGATGCCGGGGTGGGTGGGATTAATAGGAAAGATTACAAAGTGAAAAACTTTTTTTTTATCCCAATCCATGGCTCACGCTTAGAGTGCTACTGCTACTACAAGATCACCCATTTTGCCTGCACCAAGACTCTGCTACAAGGACGCTCTCCCTACAAAGGAAGCGTTTAATTTAACGATTATGGCTACAGCAAAAAGGGTGTACAGATGCCGATAAGTTTCCCACCGTAAACACCGAGTTTCCCCCGAAAAGACCGACCGTGTAAAAAAACACCCAATGACCGGGTGGTCTTGGTCGTGGTCGTGGTCGTGGTCGTGGTCGTTTGCTTGGTTGCGAAACTGATCCGCACACTTTGGGCAGGACCCGGTGTGGGTGGTGTGCACTGCTCTGGGGCCGTTTTGGTGTACTTGCTGGCACTGGAAGTAGCTTGATAGCGAGGCCAGGGAACCAGTACGCTTCGATACGGAGAAAGCAGACAGCCCACTTTGAAGGGTCCAGGGCCACATTTCTAGGACCATGGTCTTCGTTTACAGGACACATCACCCGGACATCTCTGGTAGGGACCGCGTGTAATTCCCCGAAGGGGGAATTATCGCGGAGAAGAATGGGTGATGCCGGAGGGGGTTCCGTGGTGCATGGAGGTGCGTTGGGGTCTTTTGCAAGCCACGATAAGTGGCTTTGGTGCTGAGCAGAGGGAGTAAATGGAGGTGGAGGATGGCTTTGCAGTGGAGCTGGGGGGTTGGTGTGTGGCCTGTGAGCACAGAAGGGACTGGTGAGAGGGCCTTAGACGTATCAGCTGTGGTGGGCCCAGCGGGCCCACTCCATTGTGCTTGGAATACTACTATTACTCTCAGTAGTGGCTTTATACACCTGACTGAGACAACAGAAAGCTTCAGAGCTGAGTGTTTGATGAGAAGTCACCACTGAGTGCCACAGGGTGTTGTGGGCCCTCCTGTGACTGAGCGAGTAGGACCTGCTTCGCTTCCTATGCCCTGAGTTCTAGGCATCAGAATTCAATACTCCACAGATCACATGGGTTGCGGGTCATACATTGTCAAAGAGTAAGAATAGCCTAACATGGGCATTCTCATTTTAGAATGTCACTTGGTGATGATTTACACTCAGCACACCTCGTCATGGTCTCGAGAACATGCTTCAACCACACATTGGAATGGCTCAAGTGTTTTGTTGTTATAGGTTTATAGTCCAATGGACAGCCACATACACCGTTGTTTGAGTCAATTGACATCAACTGTGGCGCAGTAATGATACATCAATAGTGCCCAGTGTTCAACGATGCCTCTAAATTAAGGAAAACTCCCAAGAAACCGCTCAGTTATAACCCTAACTACTCGACGTAATGACAATTGTATCTTGACATTACAGGCCAACTACATACATACAAGTGAGGTTAAAACACAGCGTGAAAAACTACGCATCGGTTACACATGGTACGATGTAACTGTATCTTTAGTATTGTCTGTTTCATCTTTCGTATTTTTATCACATGGGGAACACTCCCCCTCCCACAACTTTTAATGATGTGTCCATAGAACTCACACCCTTAGTATGGAATACCGTTGGTCATCTTTTGGAATTTATCATAACCGACAGAGAAAAGACTCTCATAACTCTGTCTGATCAATCCCTTCAGTGCCTTGATGCACTGTTTATCGTCCTTGTCTAAGAAGAATCTGGCCTTCAAGTTTCTCATCGTCTTTTCTCCTTTGAAGCACGGTAACCCACTGGCAAGCATACTTTGAACATTACCAACAATCAATCCATAGTACGGTCTAACAGCAAGGAAACCCTTAATGAATAGTTCTTCAAACATCTTAAAGCTTTCAGTATCATTAGAGCCTCCCATAACGCGTACCATTTCCTTCGTCAATTTGAATGGACAAGCTTCAAATTTAACACCGCCAGGAACAATGTCAAAGCAAAACCCAAAATCAATGTGAAGAATATGACCATGGTCGTCATACATGATGTTACCGTTATGTCTATCCTTGAACTGAAGAAGATATGATATGATAGAATAAGCAGCGAGAGATTTCACAAAGTTTTGCACAGCATCTTCGTACTCAAGAACACCATCTGGGAACTTGGATTTGAAGAAAGTGTATAAATCGTTCACAGCTTCACGACCCAACATATCACGAGATATAGAATTTGGAAGAACGTCAATAACACCACAACCTGGTGCAGTAGCTGTAACACGATTTGGGTAACAATAAAGGTTTAATCCGGCATTCTCCCATATAGACTTGAAGATAGCAATCAATTGTAAGGCTAAAACATCTTGACGACAGTCATCTCCAACTTTAAAGATTGCAGATTGCCATTTCTCAACTGTGATCATCTGACCACTAATTTCCTCCTCCCTGCGAATACGGAATGTGGCCATGAATGGTGTCTTTGCATGAGACTGTAATGGCTTACCACTGGTTCTGTTGATATCAATAAGAACACCATCTGGATTGGATGGCAAATAAACATTCTCAGCAACAACGATCTTGGCCATCTCTTCATCGATCTTAATCTTCTTTTCTGCCTTGGTTTTCTTCAGGTATGGCATTAATTTACCTGAAATGGATGTAACCTCATCAAAGAATCCAAACTCGGCCTTGTAATACTCCATAGCTTCATCGTCATACGAATCAATGATTTGGTTGATCATCTCTTGTGAGCAAAGTGCCTTGTTTTCAGCATTCGCTTTCAGATTCCAAATCAACTGATGGGAAAACTTTTGGCTAACTTTTCCTGTTTCAGCAATGAATCTTGCAACATATCCCATAGAATCATTCAGAAGACATTGAACGATCTGTGGGACATAAAAGAAAGTCAAATTAATATCCTGAGATTCTAACGCCCTCATGTTATACTGGATCACATATGGATTGTCAATATAAGGAGGAGTAAACAAATTGATAGATTCAGTCGGGTCAATAGCTTTTGCAAAGATCAAATACTTGTAATTCTCCGGTGACGCAAGTAAATACCTGACTGATTGGTAGAATGGAAGAGCATCGACTGGTTTAGATACAACCAGTTCAAAAAGGTACTTGTCCAAGCTTGGAATCTTCGCTACCAAACTTATAGCTAAAGCTGGGTTCATTGAGTATGCAAATTTCAACATAACTTCGTCAACTTTGACAGGCTCCTCCTTAAAATCAACTGGTTCTAATGGATTTAACCATATGATGATCTTTGAAATTTCGTCGTGTAAGAACGCCAAACATAGAGTTCTCTTGATGTCAATATTCCATAGGGAGTTGGCGGAAAATGTCATGTTCATAGTTCTGCGGTAGACTGTTTTCAATAAGTTTAAGTCAGATTTGAGTCTCAAATCGTTATCACCGAATGGATATTGTCTAGATTGAGTGAACCAGGACAATATTGACTCCAATATCAAGTTTGCTAATTCTGCCCCTACACGTGGATTAGTCTTCAGTTGCACTTGCATAACGTCAAATCCAAAGTTTACAAGTTCAAATCTCACCAATCTCGCATATGGATGTAAACTAGCAGTTTTCGAGCGTTCCAACGCAAGACAAACCACACGAGTGAAAACCCTCAGAATATTTTCGGACTGATACATTGTGCCTTCGAAATGAGAAGTGAAGAACTTGATCACTTGGAAATCAGTTTCAAAGCCTTCCAATGCAAGATCGGCATAGTAATTAACTTTAGCCTGGTCAGATGGCGTATAAGCCATTCTCAAGAAACCCTCGTCAATCAAGTCGTACTGCTTAGAAAACACGCCTACCCTATTCTTGATGGAGGTTTGCCATACTGCGGCAATATCAGACAACAAGAGGTGAGCACGTGCTTCAAAGTTTGGATCACCAAGACGAACAGATTCACCAGAACTCATGAGACTCTTGTGTGCACGGATTAAAGTCATCAACGGATCCTTACTATCACCATCGATATCGGACAAACCAGTGTCATGCTTGGCTCTCCAACCGTATTCAGACAGGAAACCTGCAATAGAGTTTGCTTTACCAAGACCTGCCATGGACACATTTGAATTTTCCAAATCATTAGGCAAAATTGAACCGGCCATCTCCATGGCAAAGGTAACACCAAATTGAACAGGGTTAGCCCTAACTTGTAGTCCCAAGTCCGAAATGTATGATTGAAGAAGAGCCTTTAGATCCTGGTTTGATTTACTCAGAGCCAACAAGCACCATTGTTTGGCATTTCTATGTAGCCGCTCCAGGGTTGAACGTTTCCATTTGATTGAGTCCGAAACTTTAATCTTCTCCTGAGAATGGGCCAAAGTGAACTCACGACGTGGTTGATATTTACTTCTTTCGGAGTCCACAACACTGTCAAACATTGCAGTTAAGAGATCAAGCAAAGTATACAAACTTAAACGGTTCACCAATCCAGATGTTAGTCTAGAAATGAACAAAGATGCGGATTGGAATGCTGCGTCTTGAAGACTGTATTCTCTATGACAACACAAGATGAGAATTTTAGTCAACTGATCAGCAATTTTATCACATGTAAAATGTTTACTCCCGCTCTTCTCAGTCAATTGAATATACTTTTGAACGACGGAGATTGAAATTGAACCGATAAATCTTTCAATATTTGAGTTGGCAATGGATGGATCAGAAAAGTAGTAGAGGATCGTAGAACAATCGCCAGTATTTGCACGCAAGTTTTCCAATAGAGACGTGGCAGACAAGAACATCAACTTTGTATATGATAAAGTTCTTTTCTCAAGACTGTTGATGTTCGAAATACCGCTTATAATATGCTTTTGATCTTTAACATTATGGTTGGAAGAGCCTCTTCTCAAAACGGTATTTAATTCAAATGATGTTTCCGCACGAACACTTTTCAAGTCAGAAGCTAGCGGAGGTGAATTGAGTGCTATGATTTCAAGTTCAGTTTGGTATTTTTTAGTCAATTCAGAAGTTTCATTGTAACCATGCACGACAACGTTAAACCAAAAATTTTGGAACAGCACCAGGGTTGTATCATCCAAGTTGGATAACTTTGAGTCAACCGGTAACAATTGTGCAATCGGTTTAATCAAATAAGAGATTTGCTTTGCAATTTCTGATATTTCACCTTGGGATCTATGGTCGGTCTTTCGAACGTCACCACGAGATACGACATTGTTTAACATTTCGTTCAAGTAAACAAAATATAAATCGTGATCAGTTTGACCTTGGAGGGTCTTTGAGATTGTAACTCTTGCATTAATCACTGCAGCTGTAAAGTCAGGATTATCCTTGTGAGTGATAAGCGCATTGTCAAACAGTTTCATCAAGGCCAAAAATTCTTTATGGGATAGTGACGTTGCAATTTCTGACAATCCTTTCAAGAGGTTAAACCCCAATGGAGAAGTATTTGACTGAAACTTTTGGGACAATACCGTCACTGCAAGAACTGTTATTGCTTCATCACCATAAGTCTTTGTCAGTTCAATGATAGAGGTGATTGCATTCTTATATATATGGCCATGTACAGGTTTCCCATCTGGTGCGGTTACTAGAGGGTCTGTCTCCTTCAAAGAATTTATGGTGCTTGAACGTTTCACTCTCGTATGGTTGAAGCTGTTCGTTGTAGATCGAATTTTTAACTCGCGCATTGCAGTGACAGGCGCTGATGTGTTATTTGAAACCAACAAATTGACCAACGAGTAAATTGTTGTAATGATAGAATCTTGGTTCAAAGGTTTCAATCCCAGAGCCAAGCTTTTTGACAACATCTTGATATAAGATACATCTGTCGAGGAAGGGAGCTTTGAAAGAATAAGAGGAAATAAATGGATCAACTCTGCACTGATATTTTTCTTGTCTTTATATGTTAACAACGAACCAACAGCGATCGACGAACGAGATAAATCAGGATTGACTGATTCGTTGGGGTTAATCAAAGAAAGTTTAACCAGAGCTGTAACTTCTTGGTTCGAAACCAAATCCACCAATAACCCTGCTGCTAAAACATCCAAAGCAATACTTTTGGTGGACAAAGCCAAGTTAACACGTTCTGTCGATGAAAGGTTGATGTAAGGTGCGCCGTTGTCCAATTCGTCGATCTGAGCCTTTGATCTCCGCACCAATTTCTCTAAAACTGACGTATTCAAAGCGGTTTTTACCCTTTCTAACTTTGAAACTGAACCCGGATCGCTGTCGTAATCCAAAGCTGCTAATGATAACAACGTTTCGGAGAGAGATAAGTCTTGTTTCTTTTCAAGGACTCCTTCTTTGGCGATTGTAGTAAGAACTATATGGGAAAACAACGCCTGAGCCAACTTTGCAAATAATAATGAGTTGAATTCATCTCCTGATGCCAAATAAGCCACTAAGTATGTCAAGTGGTGCTCATCTTGTAATGAGTTTTGTGTTGCAGACTCCACGGTGTCAAAGAACTGCTCTGTGAACAAGTCGATGATGTCATCGACAATCAAAGCATCGAACGATGAGTCACTGCCTATCAGAGCTTTCAAGAATCCCAACAAACTGAAATATGCACACAATGAAATACCATCCTTCTTAAACCTAGCCAAGTACTGCTTAAATAGTACCACAACGTCATCTTCCAAGGATGGGAACTTCTCACCCAGTGTCGTTATCGAGCTTGTCAACTTCATGGTAACGTAGTCCCACGGAGACGGTGATAATTGTAAGCTGATATTGCTCTTGAACTCCTGTGTTGAGCATTGCAAGAAATAAGGTGATAACAAACTCAACAACTGTTTACCTTGAGTCTCAGTTCGAACATACGAGCTTGCACTAGCCAACGCAAACAAGATCTCCAACTCCTTATGAGACATTGGTCCAATACCCCCGTCACTCAGCTTCTTATAGTCTATGGCATTCGACAACTTCAACACATCACCACCAAGCCCCAAGGAGCCATTGATGTAATAACCGCTGCGGCCATAACCTCCACGCTCTTCCTCTTTGAAGGACATGGCGGCAATCTTCTTCAAAGCTTTTGAGCGGATTGAGCCGCGCGAAACACTGCTTCATTGTTAGTCAAGCTGCTGTGTCACCCGTATTTGATCAACTTACCCTAAGAAGTCCATCTTGGTATGTGAAGTTTCTATGGTTTGTGTGTTGTTGATGTGGAATGTTTACGTTTCAATTTCCTGCGCTTTTGTGGCCGCTTCCTCTTTCGAGATTTTCTTCTCGGCCGTCGGAAAGGAAAACGACGCGGCGACAAGCGAAAAACCGAAAAAGGAAAACGAAAACGAAAACGAAAAAATGCTACATGGCTTTCATTCTTTAAATGCCATAGAAGGAGATTTCCTTAAAACTAAACCCCGTTATATATATAACAGTTCGTGAATCTTATAGTCAATGTAGAAACTGATCATCACCACCTCTTATGCAAATTAAGAAAAAAAAAACGTCAAAAGAAAAAAAAAATCCAAAAGTCCAAAAAAAAATAGTACAGATAGCAGTAGACATGACTTGATACAAGCATCAGGATGCACGTACCAAGCACAGCAGAAAGCCAAGAAAGAAGAAGAGAAGTGATCATCACTTCTTTTTTTTTTCATAACCCATTAGAACAAAGAAAATACACAATTAGAATAACCCCCATGAATCGACATCAAATATATCGTAATGCAAATTAAAGAAAACCAGACAATGACAAACAAAGTTTGAAACGTATTCATGAGTACGTTTCAATCAAAGTGTCACGCAAGTTACCTGAAATCGATTCTGGTTGTGCGTCTTGCAATCTAAAGATACTTTCAATGACACTCAGCTCTGGAGCTGTAGTGTCCAAGCCTGCAACAGCGAGCCAGTCGTTGACAACCAAGCCAGCACCAACGACGGAGGAACCACGATTCACAGTACCTGCAACCAATGGAACCTGTAACAAAGATGACAACTCCTCTTGATCCGCAATTGAGGTCTGTGGATGGACAATACCACCTTGGTTCGACAAGGCACAGTAGGAGCCGACAAGAACGTTGCCCGCAATGGTCTGTCTGAAGACTTCAACGTCCAAGACATCTGCAATGAGCTCTTCAGTCTCACGTTCGATATCAGGGTGGACGAGTGCAACGTAGTCGTTACAGCAGATCACGTTACCCAAAGCGGAGAGTCTCTCCTCAACTCTTTGAATCTTGACAGTATCAGGGAGAGAGTTTCTCAAGTGCATGAGTTCTTGGTCAGTGGTTTGTGTTGGAACCAACAGCCCTCTTCTGTTACCTGCAGTCATTCTACCGACGATACGGGTACCAGCAATGGTGGTGTGAGCAATTGGGATAACGTCTCCCAATTCGGCTTCAAATGCAGAGTAAAAGTTCTCTGATCCACCAACAGCAACGAGACAGTAGGAGTTCGTCAACTTGGAAAAGACACCAACGTCGTTAGAGTTCTCAAATTGGGTTCTAGTAGCCATTTTTCCTATTCACTTCGAATGAATTTACTTATTTGAATGGTAGTTTCGAAAGAAGGAAGAGGGAAAAAAAGAGAAAAAAACGAGAAAAAAAAACATTTGAAGCGAAAATTTTCACTCACGATAAGATGAGGGCGACGATATTCGAGGGACGACAAGTCACGTGCACTCGATCGGATATCGAAGAAAGGGTGCTCCTACCAGTAATATCAAACTCTCCAACAAAAACGTAGGGTAACCCTTGATGGCCTTTTTTATGTGTCATGTAGGCAGGGGAACATAGTTTGGCCTATTCGGTAACAAAGGGAATGCCCAACGCCTTAGTTTTACACCCCATTAGTCCAGTTATAAGCCAATAGTTATACAAGTTGCTCAAGGAGATCAATTGAAGGGCATCTCAATCAATTCGTATTGCAATTGAAGTACAACAATCTAAAACAGTGCACTAACTGTAAGCCCAATGCTACTGCCAGTGTCCAGCTAGGCAGAAAAGTGGTATCTGCACGCACTGGGCGGCTTTCCCGCTAGGCGGAGAGGCCCCCCCTAAAGCCCCAGCAGCGGCAGCAACAACAGAAAAAGTTCCAGCAAATTCTCGAATCTTCCACCAGTTCCGTATGGGCAGACACTTATGCGATAATCACACACTACAAATATGTTAACGGTAGGGCTCAAGTATAAATTCAACCCCCTTTCTCCAAAATCTGGACACTCACGTTGCTTTCTCACTCATCAATTGAACTGAAAGGAGAATAATCTAAACAATATGGACGAATCACAATTCACAGACCGTGCCTTGGCTGTTATCACCAGAGCACAGCAGCTCGCAGAGGAGCACCAGCATCCACAGTTGCTGCCATTGCACATACTGGCAGCCTTCTGTGAGAAGCCAGAGGATGGTTCCACGAGCTATCTTCAGACTTTGCTAGAGAGGGGCCGTTTTGACTACCAATTGTTCGAGAGAACCGTTAATAAGCATCTCGTCAGAACCCCATCGCAGAATCCTGCCCCACAGCAGGTGAGCCCAAGTTATGCCACAGGAGAGATCTTGAAGAAGTGTGTCAAGATCAAACAGCAGCAGAAGGATAGCTTCGTTGCCCAAGATCATATCCTGTTGGCACTGCTTGAGGACAGTTCCATTCAAGCAGTGTTGAAAGAGGCCAGCGTCACAGTGGATGGCCTCAAACAGCAGGTGCTTACGCTCAGAGGAAACCAGAGAATCGACTCCAGAGGAGCTGATACGAACCAGGAGTTGGAATACTTGACCAAGTATGCCATTGATATGACAGAGCAGGCCAGACAGGGTAAATTGGACCCTGTTATTGGAAGAGAAGAAGAGATCAGATCCACAATCAGGGTGTTGGCCAGAAGAATCAAATCCAACCCTTGCCTCATAGGTGAGCCTGGTATTGGTAAGACTGCCATCATCGAAGGTGTTGCCCAGAGAATCTTGGAGAACGATGTGCCAACTATCCTTCAAGGCTGTCGTCTGTTCTCTTTGGACCTGGCCGCTTTGACAGCAGGTGCCAAATACAAAGGTGATTTTGAGGAAAGATTGAAAGGTGTCTTGAAAGAGATTGAACAGTCAAAGATCCTGATTATCTTATTCATCGATGAGATTCACATGCTTATGGGCAACGGTAAGGATGATGCTGCAAACATCTTGAAACCGGCCTTGTCAAGAGGTAACTTGAAAGTGATCGGTGCCACTACAAACAACGAGTACAGAGCTATCATTGAAAAGGATGGTGCCTTCGAAAGAAGATTCCAGAAGATCGATGTTAAAGAGCCAACTGTCAGAGAAGCTGTGGCTATTCTTAGAGGTTTGCAACCAAAATATGAGATCCACCACGGTGTTAGAATCTTGGACTCTGCTTTGGTTAGTGCAGCTCAATTGGCTAAGCGTTACTTGCCATATAGAAGATTACCAGATTCTGCTATTGACCTTGTGGATATCGCTTGTGCTGGTGTTGCAGTGGCTCGTGACTCTAAACCTGAAGAGTTGGATTCCAAAGAGCGTCAATTGCAGTTGATCCAAGTTGAGATCAAGGCTTTGGAGAGAGATCAAGAGACTGATGAGACAACGAAGGAGAGATTGACTCAGGCTAGAAAGAAAGAAGCAGACTTGGAAGAGGAGTTGCAGCCATTGAGAGCCAAGTACGATGAAGAACGTCAAGGCCACGAGAAGCTTACCGCAGCCAAAAGAAGACTGGATGAGTTAGAGACAAAAGCTGTTGATGCTGAGCGTCGTCATGATACTGCTACAGCTGCTGACTTGAGATACTTTGCTATTCCAGACTTGCAGAAGAAGATCGAACAGCTCGAAGAGGAAGTTGCTAGAGAGGAGACAATGTCTGGTCATGGAATGATGATCCAGAACGTTGTCAACTCTGATACGATTGCTGAGACAGCTGCTAGACTTACTGGTATCCCAGTCAGTAAGCTTACTGAATCTGAAAACACTAAGTTGGTTCACATGGAGAAGTCACTTTCAAAGGATGTTGTTGGACAGAGTGAGGCCATCAAGGCAGTTTCAAATGCTGTAAGATTGTCAAGATCTGGTCTTGCAAACCCAAGACAGCCTGCTTCTTTCTTGTTCCTTGGTTTGTCAGGTTCCGGTAAGACCGAGTTGGCTAAGAAACTTGCTGGCTTCCTTTTCAATGATGAGAATGCCATGATTAGAATTGACTGTTCTGAGTTGATGGAGAAGCATTCCGTTTCAAAATTATTGGGTACTACTGCTGGTTACATCGGTTACGAAGAAGGTGGTCTACTTACGAACCAATTGGCCAGAAAGCCTTACTCTGTTATCTTGTTTGATGAAGTTGAGAAGGCTGCTCCGGAGGTTTTGACTGTGTTGTTGCAACTTTTAGATGATGGACGTATCACTTCTGGTCAAGGTAAGACCATTGATGCCTCAAACTCCATTGTTATCATGACATCGAACTTGGGTTCTCAGTTCATTATTAGTCAGAACACTGCCAAAATCTCTGAAGACACCAAGGCCCTTGTTATGAACGCTGTGCGTGGTCACTTCAGACCGGAATTTATCAACAGAATTTCCTCTATTGTGGTGTTCAACAAGTTGTCTAGAAAAGCTATTCACAAGATTGTCTCTATTCGTATTAGGGAGATCGAAGGCCGTTTCGCTGCAAATGACAAGAATTACAAGCTGGATATATCTGATGACGCTGTTGACTTCCTTGCTCAGAATGGTTACACCGAGGATCTTGGTGCTAGACCATTGAACCACCTTATTGAGCGTGAGATTTTGAACAAGATGGCAATTCTTGTCTTGGCTGGTCAAATCAAGGATAAGGAGACCGTCAAGGTTATCCGTAAGGGTGACCACTTGGAGGTTATTCCTAACCACGAGGCCACTATCCAAACCGATGAGGATATGGATGTCGATGACTGGTCGGAGGATGACTTGGAGAATGATGTCCCAGCTGATGAAGTTGAATGATCAATATATATATATATAGCTATTTGAAATGTTTATGTCTAATGAGAGTCTACCAGTAGGATAATAGAGAACTGAACGAGCATGGCATCATTAAACTTAAGAGATAACTCTATAGAAATAACAGTAAAAACAAAAAAGAAAACAACAAACGAGTCAATATGAATAGTAAGAAAGAGTGAGTAGCTCAACAGAGTAGTTTGTATATCCTGTAGTAGAATGGTGAATTGTTGATACGCTCCCTCTCGTAAAAAATGTCCTGTTTCAAGAGTTCAATATCATAGTGTTTCCGGCCTGTATCGATATCCATCTCATGGGTTCGTATGAACCAACTCTTGTTTCTCTTCCATAGTCTGTGGCCCACATAGAATGCAATAAGTATACATAATGAAAGGAAAACTTCAAAGAATGACTTTGCATCTGCCGAGCTTCCAGGGAACAGTGCAACCCAGAATTGGCCCATGATAACTAGCACATTCATCACCAGTCCAAACAATGATCCCCAAACCCCCAGAGGTGAAGCGTACGATAACTCATCAGTGCCTCTTCCGTGTAGTTTTAGAGCCTGTCTGAACCTAATATGGCACCAGCAAATTGCCATCCAGGCGAAGATTGTACACAGTGATGTCAAAGCAGAGAACCATAGAAACACGTCGTTCTCTTTATCTGAGGCTGCGAGAAACGACAAGAGTCCAAATACAAACGTCACGATGTTGGCCACCAATGGTCTTCCTGTCCTGTCAACGTACGATAGTATTGCAGGGGCATGGCCGATATCGCCCATTGCAGACAAAACACGGGAAGTGGCATAGACTGCTGTATTTGCGATGGACAGCACTGCAAGGATGATGACAACGTTCATCAGCGATGGCAGTCCGCTTATTCCAGCGTTCTGAATTGCAATGACGAATGGCGAAATAGATCCATAGGAATCACCGTCCCACAGCTTATCAGAGTCATAAGGCACAAGGCAACCAATAAGTGTAAGAATGGCTATATAGGATAACGATATGAACCAAAAGGTTCTCTTTGCAGCCTTTGGTATCGCAGTTTCTGGGTCTATGGTTTCAGGAGCAGTCATTGAAATGATTTCAACGCCTGCAAACGAGAAAGCTGCAGCGACAAACACGGAGCATACGCCTTTAAACCCATTAGCAAAGGCACCTGGGTCGTGCCAGTATCTCCCACCAATGTAACCTCCTTGTGGCCCACCACCACATGTCAGGACGATCCCCAAGATGAAGAAGCCCACGATTGCCAGCACCTTCACCAGTGCCAACAAGGCCTCCAACTCTGCATAGTGCTTCAAGTGTAACATGTTCAAGAACACTATGAACACGAAGAACACGGCTACCCATACATCGGCATTGATATCGTCACGCCAGAATCGGATGGTTATAGCAGCACCAACCAGAGCCACCGGCAGGGCAACCATCCAGTTGAACATGTAGTTCCAGGCCAGTGCGAACCCCAGCGATGGGTCTATGAACCTGGTCGTCAGCGTGACGAACCCTCCAGTCACTGGAAACGCCACGCTGAGCTCTGCAAGCGCGAGCATGGTCACAAAGATCATGGCCGACACTATTGACCAGCCGATGACCAGAGAAGCTGGCCCACCGGTGGCCAGCGCACCTCCGGAATTCACAAACAGCCCCAGGCCAACGGTGCCGCCGATGATGAACATCGCCAGGTGTCTCGGTAGCAACTTCTGTTTCATCTGGGTCTTTGACGAGTTTATCGCGGCCTTCTGTAGGTCGGTCAGGTTCTCCTTATCCTCGTCAAGCTGGATCTCTGAGCGATACACAAACACGTTTGAGCCTGCAAAGGGGTCCTCGTTCTGCGCAGGCCTGAACGAGTCCTTGAACTGGTTCCATTTCTTCGCAGAGGCCTGTGCTGCTGCTGATGTTATTGGTGATACCACCGACGTGGGGGCTTTCTCCGTGGACTGGAATGGGCTCACCGTCGGATGATCCATAATCGCTTCCACCAACACTCAACACAAAGATACAGCGGGCAGTTGCAGTGGCAAACGATCAGTGGGAAGTGTAAGAGATGTGAAGAAAAAAATTTTCCCGTTATCAATGGAAACCCCCGCTTAAATTTTCAAGCAGCAGAAAGCAAGAGAAAAACGCTCCGGTATTAATTTTGCTCTTGTGATGTTTTTCTTCGTTGCACGCCCTGTGTTTGTGTTTGTGTTTTTTTGTCTTTGCGGGTTGGCCGTTTAACTTTGGTTGGCCGTTGAGGCAGCGCGCGCGTATGCAGCCTCACGGGTTTAAAACTTTAAAATCGGGGCTTCTACAAAATTTGGACGCAGTTGAAGAAAGCAAAGCAAATCAAAATGTTTAGTCATAATGTGTTTAAACAAGTTTATAGCACGAACTGGAAGTTCACATCTCTGTCATCCTTGGCCTTGAGTCTTGTGTCCTGTCCCTGGGCGATTCTTGTTCTGTTCGTGGCCCATAGGTTGTACATCACGCCGATGACCATTGGGATAGCGGCGGAGGACATTCCCAAGCCAATGCTGAAACCCTTGTGGAAGTTCCCCTTGTACACCTGTCCAATTAGAACACCTGAAGTGGACCCGACTGCGGTGATAAGTCCCCCCATGGTGGCTCTCTTGTAGTGGCCTGCGTTGTTATTATTGGCCCATAGGATACTCAACGCGGAGCAAACGTACATTCCAACACCAATAAGCATGCATCCCGCATACCTTGGGCCGGAACGAGTTGTTGCTACTAAGATGATGTAACCAATCACCTCGAAGACTGCTCCAAAGATGAGGAATCCACCACGGTGCTGCCTCAGATCTGATATATAGGCCACTATGAAAAACGAGAGAAATGCAACGGCATACACCGGGATCGTCAGCAGTTGGGTTTCGTACTTATCATAGCCCATGGTTTTGATAATCGAAGGAAGGAAAGTTGAAATTCCAAAGAGGGTGTAGTCCACACAGAACTCGTACGCACATATGACAATGTTGTTGATGTCCTTTATGGATCGTAGCACTTCGCTCCATTGGAATGGCTCGTCATGGAAGAAGTCTGGATAAGTGGCGAACCTCTGTTTTAGTACCTCCCTCTCATCCTGTTCTAACCACCAAACATTGGTCAGTTCGTTTGGTAACAATATAGCAATGATTGGACATGAAACCACGGTCATTGCGCCCTCGATGGCAAATAACCATCTCCAGCCATCCCAGCCTTGAATTCTAATCAACCCATATGCCAATAAACCACCAAAAGCACCAGCAAGTGCACTTGCACTGTAAACGAAGGAACAACGTTTGGCCATTTCACCTCTCGTATAGACCATCCCGAGATAGACGTTTATGATTGGAATAATACCTGATTCGCAAAACCCGAGCAGGATACGACATGCCAATAACGAGCCATAACTGGTAACAAAAGCCGTACAGAGAGAAACCACTCCAAATGCGAAAACCAGCACTGTTAGAAGCTTCTTACAGCCAACGTACTTCAACAGGAGGGCAAACGGCACTTCGAATACCACATAGGTAACAAACAACAGACTAATAACGTTACCATACTGTGCTTCTGTCAATCCGAGATCAGTGGACATCCCTGCGGCGTTGGCGTTACCAATGTTGGACTTGTCAAGATTGGAAAAAAGGTAGATCAGTGCAATACATGGCAGCACTATAAAATCAAACTTCTTGAGCAGCCGACGTTCAATCTCAGAGAATTCACCATCTGTGAACTCAGGTGATAACTTGGTTTCGGTGGTATTGATGGACTCTGCCTTAGAGAACGAGTTCTGTAGTTCAGCCATCGTTATTCAGTTATACGTTTCCTCCAAAATGATGATGGAAAACTTTTCTCCCGTCTAAAACACCCCAACACAGTGGGAAATGAAGAAGAGACAAAGCGTATTAAATCCAACAAAAGAAGCTGGAGGATGACCTCTTAATGATGACTCTAGCAGTTGTGTGGGGGCATAAAAGGGAAGCACAAGAAGGCGAAAATCAGCCGAGTAGGTAAAAAATGTATAACCAGGTGATGGAACGATTATGGGTCATCGTATAGAATAATGCGATCGGCATTTGGAGTCGGAGTTCGGAGATTGTGGGAGTTACCCGGGGGTATGAGGAGATAACTTGATGAGTGAATAAGACCACAACTTCTTTGGAAGGTGGTGATAACTCGATACCCAGCTCTTTCATTTGCCGTCGAATTATCCGTTAACAAACAGCTATGCCAAATCTCATATCTGCGCACCAGCTTATATGTGTGGTCACGTGAGTAGTGGGTTTATGAGTTATAAAGGAGACATAAAACAGTAGCCAACTTCTGCAACTTGATGTGGAGCTATGAGCTTCCTATCTACTTTTTCCTGGTTTGGTTCTATGTAATGAGTCTTGCTCGACTTCTTCTTCTTCACTTCTGATTGTCGTTCTATCGAGCTGCTCGAGGGCTCACACACAGACAAATTGGCTCGTAATTCGACTCCTTGGGTCTTTGTCGTGACTGTTTTCAGCTTTATCAGACAAAGTCTTCTATGAGAACTTGTAGCCAACGTTTAGAACACTCTGTTCGACGAGATTTGACCAAGTTGTGTGTTTCCTCTTCAATTATCCAATTTTCAATGCCTCCGGTTCTCTTGGTGCTTTGGACGAAAGTTGCTATGTAGATAACATCGAAAGAGCCTTCATGTGTTCGTTGTAAATACTTTAAACAGGCTGATATACTTTGTATACTCTAACAAGAGCACAATCTGTGATCCAACTTTACCTGTAATGCTGCTACATTGACACAGATAAATACAACGAATATATAAACTGATATAGAATAATCACAGGAAATAAGTGTCAACCAATATGGGTTTGAAAGAAGAAACAAGAGACGGAAACGAAAGAGAAAGAGAAATGATAAAATGACCCGCCAAAATCACAATGTTCAAATCACAAACAGATGAACAAGAATCATGGTAATAATACCACCAAGTGTGGCTTGAGCTCTAGAACCAGCATTGGTAGATACAGAAATGAGTGGAATGTCTGTTCCCAAAGCAAAAGGTAATGATGAAGATGGAGTGTTATATGAGTCCGTTGTCACTGCGGTCTGTAGGGAGGACAACGTGGTTGTTGCAGTGGATCCAGTATTTGAATAGGCAGCAAAGTAAATGCTTGTGCCACCGGTTGGAATAGCTGGTATAATGGATGTACTTGTTTCTCCTTCTGCTATCAATGATAGTGTAAAGTCATTTGCAGAGTTGATACCAATGTTATCAACGGAATCATCTGTATCACCATTGCTTAGTGATATATCACTGTTGGAGCTAGAAGTACTAACCCCTGGGTCTGTATAAGCACTAGCAACTGGGATGATAATAGAAGATGTACCGTTAACCACTGTAGTGATGTAAGGACTGTGGGTACCTTCAGAGTTATAATCAGATGTATCGATCAAGTCACCAGAGGGAGTTGCAGTTGAAGCCAGAGATATATGCGTAATTTTTGGAGTGATAACAGTTCCATAGTTTGTTTCACTTGATGTAATAGCCTCTTTTTGTATTGAAGTGGATTCTGACGAAGTACCATTTCTTCCAGGAGAGGAAACCAAATATGACTCGGTTGGGATAGTTGTCGAAATGAGACCAGTTTGCGTGGGTATAAAAGAGCTGTTTGAGTTAAGAAACGACGATACAGCATTGTCTGAAAAATACGATAATGATTCTGTACTCACAAATCGAGATGATGGAGTTTCAATGATGTTCAGTGACCCTGATGAGGTAAGCCTGATGGTTACATCAGTGGACATAGAAGAACCAGATGTTGATGGTATTCCACTTGTTGTTCCAGTACTGGTCAATGTTCCTCCAGCTGAAAGTGTGAAAGTTTCAACTTCAGAATTAGTATTGGTCTCAACATATGATGATCCCGATAAGTGGATTGAATCAGAAGACATATAAGTCGAATTAGCAGTAATCCCTTCAAAGGAAATAACTTTCGATATATTTTCAGGAACAGCAACATTAGATTCAATAGTAGAACTATCATTTGTGCCCACAGAGAATAGAGTGCTCACAGGTGAATAAGTAACTTCACTAGTTGATAAGCCACCAGTTACAGCAGTGCTGATAGTTGATCTTATACTTCTAGTCTTTGCTGGCGTACCCAAAACTGTTGTTTTATCATCTGAGGTGGAAACAACACCAGTCATGACGACAGATAATAGTCCAATTGAAACATCACTTCCTAATGTAGTTCTACTTCTAGGGTCCAATAATGTACCTGAGTTCAAGAAACGTAAAGAAGGAACAGAACTTTCAAATTCTGATTTTGAACTGATAGCACTAGATTCTCTCCAAATTTCAGAAATACCCGAAGGTGTTGATTCAACTTCTGGTCTGATGGATGGATCAGAGGACTTCGTTTCAATGCCGGCTGAAGTAATGGATATATTAAACCCTCTAATACCTGTCTCTCCAGAAGATGTTGAGTTCTGCATACTCTCAACAGATTCACCAGCTAAAGATGTAGCAGTCACAATGTCGACAACAGATGAAATGGTCACTGGATCAGTGGTGCTAACGGAGCTTAAGTCGCTGCTAAACACAGGAGTTTGATACGATTCAGCGGAAATGTCTGGCACATCAAATGAAACTGGCCTGATATCTGAGTTTGAAATATGTGATGTTGTCACCAAAGTTCTTCCTGGTGCCAGCGTGTATTCATCGGTTACTGATGAAGAAGAATAACTCATAGTTTCATTTGTACTGGTAAAGCTTTTGGATTGTGACTGGGACAATGAGTTCAATTCCTCTAAAAATTGGGATGAACTTGGGATTTCCACGGACAACAAAGAGTTCTCTGAGAACGATACAGAGGGTATATCAAAAGATAGTGCTGAAACAGTCTTATCAGTTGGCATTGTGAGGGTTTGCATTTCAGTTGAAGACATAGATGACACCTCCACAAGTGTTGTCTCAAACACAGCCAGAGCCTCAAGGCCAGAAGTTTCATCAACAGTAGTTGAGGTCAGAGTGGAAGTAACACCAATAACACCTTCGGATGATGAAGAGGTTTCTGATCTAACAACAGTAGAGCTGTATACTAAATTTCTAACTGCAAATAGATCTGTTGTTTCGATAATTGAACTCAACGTTGAAGAATTGTTATATGGCACTGGTAACGATTCCGACGACACTGGAACTGACTCACCAGGGATAATGCTTGGGGAATATGAAGTAGAGTACACGCTCACCCCGCTTGTGTGCTCATTAACCTGAAATGATGTAGGTTCCGACACTGTTGATACATAAGATGTTGTTTCGTGGAATTCTGAGTGCAATGTTGACGAAGAGGAGTTCTCAATCCCACTGGATAAAGTCAACGCCTGATGTTTGGAATTCAATGATGATTCTAGTCCAATAGTATCAGACGATCCTGAGCCTGATGATACCAAATGTGAGGTCTCAGAATTAGCAATAGTGGACTTGACACTGGTTGGCACAGCAAAAGTATTCCATAAGGTGTTAGAATATTCCGAAGAAGTCAAAGTACTGGACAGGTCTGTGGTGGAAGTTGTGCTTTCACTTAGTAACGAATGCACATCAGAAGGAACAGAAAGATCCAGTGTGGATGCTCCAGTTAAAGAAATGATACTTTCAGAAGTGACTATTGCTTCAGAGAAAGTAGTGGTTCTCGACTCTGATGTAGTATCTAGGAAGTTATTTGACACAGTTGAGGATACATTTAGCCATAAAGGTGAGCCGAAGATGGAGGAGCTGGTTGGATACAATGAGGGTTCTGAGGACTCCGTCGTTGACAGGTCCAATACCAACATCTCGATTGAACTGTAGGTCCCACTTATACTCGATAATGTCGCTGTTGCAAAATAACGTGGTTCAGGAGGAAGTGCTGTCGAAACAGTATGATGTCCTGACAATGAGATTTGATCCTGAGAAGTAACCGAGACACTAGAAATACTGGAAATATTGGAGACACTGGAGAACTCCTGGGATGACACAGTCGAACTAGTCATGTATGGTTCATCACTTGTCACTGAGGAGTAATCATGTGATTCCAATACCGTCGCTTCATCTGGAGTAGATGATTCTCGAGCGGCAGCAAAGGATACGCCCGATAGCAATGGAATAGCAGAAGACGAAATCACCTCAGAGAATGTTGTTTCATTTGGAAAAACCTCTGAAGAAGGGATAACGGCTGTTAAGTCAGAAATCACACTTGCTGATGAGGAAAATACCCCAGTGGATTCATCTGTTTCAACAATTTCGGACATGTATTGGCCAAGTAATTGTTCATTAGACGAGTTTTCCGTTCGTGAACTCGTGACAACAAAACTTGATATAGATGGACTTGGTGAGCTTGATCCTGAAAGAAGGGAAGTCAAATATGAATATATGGTTGAATCGGACTTGATCTGTGGCAAAGAAGATGTTTCACGTTCAGTGATAGAATTGACTGACTCAGATTTTCCACTGATATTGAAATAAGAGTTTGTTGATGATGCTGGACTTGGATTTGTTGCAGAAGAGTTCAACTTGAGGTGCGAAGTATACAGATCTTGGAAAGACGACAATGTCAATGATTGTAAAGTTGCTTCAGGTAATATAATGTCAGCATCGGCAGAAGTTCCGGTAATACTCGATATCGAGGACAAAGTGGCTGAAGCTGAGTATCCAGAAGTAATACTTGTTCCAGTGTAGACCACCGGTGGTTCAGAAGATCGGACATCAATCTGAGGTGAAGCTGCATCACTCACGACAGGAGATATGATTAACAAGGGAGTAGAAGATATATGACTTGT